GAAGCCGTGGGGGAAAGGTGGCTCCGGATGGCGGGGTTGGGGGTCTTTATCCCAGAAGCTCACTTACAAAAGCCAAGAAAGGAAGGATCGTGAAGGAAAAAAGAAAAGTTCCACGGCCCCGTGAGCGAGGCTGACTGGAACAGGACGGGTGACGGAAGCCCAAGGTCAAAGGGGAAATGTCAACCTTGGGGCAGGGGCAAGGCCAAAGGTCACGGGCCAAACTAAATAGGTCGGATGTAGGAAGACTGACAAGAAGGTAAGAGAGGAGGAATCCCAAAGTTCTGAACAGAGAAAGCCAGGGGGGCTACGGCCTGGAAACCGGCCCCTCAGGGCCACTGACCGTGCAAGTAACCGACTTGGCTGTCCCCGACTGCAGGAACCCTAAATGGAAACCATAGGCGCCCGGGTAGGTCTTCTGCGAAGGGACAAAGGATGACAGGGGCCAGGAGATGGCTGGCGCAGGGGTGGCTGGCGCAGGGGCTGCTGGTGCCGGAACCGCTGACATTCCGGAAGCATCATCTGGTGCTTCATCCAGCCAGTTTGTGACATCTTCCGAGAGCGGCAGCTCATTCATCGCTGAGGACAGCTCGGAAGACTGCAGGGGGGAGAGGCAGGAGTCAGAGGGCCAGGTCTCTGGCCCCTGTCCCCATAGTGTCCCCCCCCAGCAACCCCCCACCTCCAGTCCTTACCAGAACATTGTTTTCGGGAAGTCTGAAAGAGAAGAGCACAACGTCAGTGCTGGGGTTTGTTTTCTACAGAGGCTCCACCGGGGGGCTGGGGAATGGGGTGGGTGGGCAGGACTGGGGGGTCCTGGGGGGCTGGCAGGGAGCCCGCCCCGCCCCCCACTTACAGGTTCCACAATTCCGAAAATGTCTCCTGGCTCAGAGGGGGCTCGATGGTGAGTTCCAATGGCGGCTCCTGCATTGTGGCCCGTGGGAGGACAGTGCGGCCACTGTGGAGGGAACGAGGGTCCGGCCTGAGACACACCCAACCCCGGGGTCCCCCGTCTTCCTGGGAACAGGGCTGCCCCTGCCCGACCCTTTGCCAGCCCCTCGCACATGTCCTCCAGACACAAAGGTACCCAGAGAGGGAATCCCAACCTTCCCACCACTGAACCCACGAGCCTTCGTGGAAGGGTACCCTACTTCTGCTCTCTTTCCTGTTAAGAAGGATGAAGTGACTGTCAGCCACTCCCTCCACCTGGGGGACGATCCCTCCATGGACCCCTGACATTCCCCGCCAGATCCCTTCATCACAAAGCCTTCTTCTTTCTTTGTTGTTGTTGTTGTTTTTTTAATGCTTATTTATTTTTGAAGGAGAGAGGGACAGAGCGTGAGCCGGGGAGGGGCAGAGAGAGAAGGACACAGAATCCAAAGCAGGCTCCAAGTTCTGAGCTGTCAGCACAGAGCCCGACGCGGGGCTAGAACTCACGAACTGTGAGGTTCAAGAACCTTTGACAGGTGTCCTGTCAAAGAACCACCAGCCAAACTCTGTCATCTGATTCTAATTCCAGGGTGGTATGCCATCAGACACCTTTGCTTATTCCTTTCGGCTGTTGCCTCTGGGGGACTAGAAACTTCCTCAGTGCAGCCATGTTATCTGTTGTGCTCACCTCAGTAATATAGGTAATGCCAGATGCTTTGTATCTGGTTGGGCTCTCTAACTGTAAGTGAATTGTCGTGCCCAAGCCATGAGCAAGCGGGCTGTGAGTGGTCCAAGGGGCAGGTGAGTTCAGAGGGGTGGTCCCAGTCCCGGCCGGGGCACTTGCCACCATCTCGTGACACCTTCCCTGACTCCAAGTTTATCAGCTTTGCGAGAAAATACACCTGCCGTGTGGGTCCAGGTTCATTGCTTTTTTGTTGCTGTCTCGTAGGGCCTTGACAAACTATCACCCCCCACCCTCGTCCCAAGCAGCTTTTTCCATTATAATCTCCCTTAACATTCGCCTCCACCTGTGTGGGATCCAGGGTGCACTTTCTTGTGGGTTCGGTTTGTGAAATCCTTTCAAGCGCCTCGTCTCATTTGTCTCGGTCACCTGACAGGCGAGGAAGCCCGAGTCCCAGCAAGAGGTGAAGTGAACTGCGTGCCCGACACACAGGCGAATGAATGAGCTTTTATTCAAAATGACCGTTCAAACGTCTAGGAGTAAGATGCTTACTTCGTCACAGACGACTCTACAGAGCCCTCTTTTGTAATCAGTTAAGGCTGGAGGTGCAGATTTGGGTTGACAAAAGTCCTTGGATTAAGAGGTTGGCAAAGGGCTACTTGTCACAGCGGCTAACGCTGGCTGACGGGGGTATTGGCTACGCACGTGCGTGGAAGGAAGCAAGACAGGGACCCAGCGGGGAGTGATCCCAAACATTTAATTTGTGGGGACGGACCAGGACCCCTCCTCCATCAGCGATCAAAAGAACTTTGAGATTTTATGGAAGGGAGCTCAAGAGAACGGGGAGGGGGCTCAGAAGTCAGAAGGGTTGAAATTACACTGTTACTTACACTTGCTGGGTGTCTTAACCTGTCTTAACAGGCTAGCTTTTTGGCTTCCTCCCATGCAGGCACTGAGTTTTTGTGTGTTTAGTGAAAAGTCCCCAGGACCAGGGACCATGGAGCAGCTGTAGCAGACAGATCACGGGCTCGGGAGCCAGACAGGCTAGGCCTGCATCCCAGGCGCACCACCTAATATTCGCAGGATTTGGGGAGGTGAGGGTTAGGGTTACTTAACCTCTCGGAGCCTTAAGTGTCCTTTGCTCTAAAACTGCACCTTACTTATTACGGATGATGTAAGGAGCTGAGAAAAGTGCCTGGAACATAGGAAGAGCCCAAAATGTGCCACAACGGGGGCTGTGCGGCAACGGTTAAGTCCGAGACTCAGTCCCGCTGGGAGGGACACAGCCCCACAGACAGAGGTCTCCCTCTCTTGGTCCTGGGCAGCAACTAAATTCTCAATGTTTCTCTCTCGAAAATGCACAATCACTAGGAAACCTTTTCGGAGCAGGTACTCCCCACGGAGAAGAGCCTCAAGGGCCATTAAATGAAACTGTCAGGAGCGGAACCAGACTTTCCAAATGGCTGGGGAGGCAGGACTTGACATTGATATCCCTGGCGGGAAGGCCATAAACTCAGCTGGGACTCCAAGGGCAGGCCCACCCCACTACCATCATGACAATGGCTGCTGTTTGTAATCAATCCCCACAGGGGCCCACTGCTTTCGGTGGCTTATCTCATTAATCCTCTCAAGAAGCCTATAAGGTAGGTGTCATCAGCCGAGGGAACCCGAGGTTAAAGTAATTAAGTCACTCACCCGGGCTCAGGGCCAGGGATTTGAACCTGGGCTGTCCACAGCCACCTCCAAGCTCTAAATAATTATGTCCCCCCCACCCCCGGGGCTTCATCCAGAGCCTTGTGCCAAAAATATTTGTTTTGGCTGAAAGCTATTTGATTGGGGGGGAAGAAAAAAAAAAGAGGGTTCTGGAAAGTAGTCAGGGCAGCGTCTGGTAAAACGGAACACCTTACTACTTTGTACAGGGAGGCTAGGGCAAAAATGTTCTTCAGTATGGTTCCCAGATGGCAGGTGATAAGAAACAATGTTACTATCAGCAGGGAGTGGCTAAATGACAGTGGTATCCTCACAAGAGAAATTTACTACAGCAATTTAAGGAAATGAATTTATTTGTATATGTGTAACTGGATATAGCTCAGAAACCTGTGGATTAAAAAATACAATTTACAGGGCGGGAGGTGGGGAAGAGTCAAACACAGTAAAATATACGTAGTTCATGTAAATTAAAAATACAAAGACTACAGTTGACCCTTGAACAAGGGTGGGTGGGGGTTAGGGGTACCAACCCCCTGTGCTGTTGAAAATCCGAGTGTATCTTTTGACTCCCCCCAAGTTTAACTACTAATAACCTACTGGTGAGCTATGATCGTTTTGATAGGATAATAATGGTTTCAGAGAAAGGGGGATATGTATGCTTATGGGAGGGGGGGGTACTGTTAAAGGGTTCTAGCTTGATTAATAAAGAAAAAAAGGGGGTGCCCCGGTGGCTCAGTCGGTTGAGCGACTGACTTTGGTCCAGGTCACGATCTCAGTTTGTGAGTTCAAGCCCCACATCGGGCTCTCTGCTCTCAGCGCAGAGCCCGCTTCGGATTCCTCTGCCCTTCTCTCTCTGCCCCTCCCCTGCTTGCGCGGTCTCCAAAAAATAAAAAAATAAATAAAAAAAAGATGGTAGTCATACATGTGTAATTAACATACGGACTCAGATAAGACAAAATATTGTTATAATTATTTGGTGTACTTATTTGGTGGGAATCTAAGTGTTGTGTATTTTTCTAAAATAAAGCTAAAGAAGGAAATGACATAATACTCTGGACAATTTCACAAACGTGTCTAGCTGCTCCCCAGAAGCCCACCAATGTTTCTGAGGTAAAAAATCTACATAAGTCGAAATGCATAATTTTACCATTTAGATAGCAAAATTGGACAAATTGATACAAGCTTGTGACCCAGCCCTATCAAGCCCAAGATACTTTGCCATATTTCCTTCTAACAGTCATACAGCACCATTTATTCACTTTCCTTTCCCCACGGATTCATTTTGGGGCCTTTGTAGAGGACCATTTGACCACACTCATGTGTCTTTTCCTGGGCTCTAGTCTAGTTCATGGTTGTCGTCCGACTGTAGCTTTATAGGAATCTTGAGGTCAGGTAGTTTAAGACTTCCAACTTTGTACTACACTTTCATTTCGGAGTCAGCTGATCAATTTCTACAAACGAACCTGCTAGGATTTTGCATGGGATTGAATTAAATCACTTTTGACCTCTCAACACTATTGAGTGTTCCATCCATGAATATGGTACTCTGTTATCTACAACTTCCGTAAATTCTCTCAGCAATATTTTGTAGTTTTTAATATAGAACTCTCGTCCCTTTTTTTTTTCAATTTATCCCCAGGATGCCATGTTTCGGATGTTACTATAAGTGGCATTGTTTTTACAATTCATTTTCTGACTTCAGATTCAATGGTTGCTATTATATAAAAATACAGTTTATGTATATTACCTTTAAAACCTGTGACCGTGCTATAATCATTTATCAGTCATGGTAGCTTTGCTTTTTTAAAGATTTTAGGGGCGCCTGGGTGGCTCGGTCGGTTAAGCATCCGACTTCAGCTCACGGTCCGTGAGTTCGAGCCCCACGTCGGGCTCTGTGCTGACCACTCAGAGCCTGGAGCCTGTTTCAGATTCTGTGTCTCCCTCTCTCTCTGCCCCTCCCCTGTTCATGCTGTGTCTCTCTCTGTCTCAAAAATAAATAAACGTTAAAAAAAATTTTTTTAAAGATTTTATTGTTTAAGTAATCTCTACACCCGACGTGGGGCTTGAACTTACAACCCCGAGGCCAAGAGTTGCATGCTTTAGCGACTGAGCCAGCCAGGCAGTGCCCTCCCTTCATGATAGTTTTTCAATGACTTTTCTATTAGCCTGGCTAACACCTTCAGTACAATGTTGAAGGGGTGAGAGTCCAATCCTTTTCTATTTCCTGATCTTAGAGGACAAGCATTCGGTCTCTCGATTATGTATTGATGGTAACTCGATTGGAGATGACTTTTAACAGACTAAGTTTTCCTTTTTCTGGTTTGCTGGGGGGTTGGCTTTTCTTTTCGCTTTTCTTTTTTATCATGAAAAGGTATTGCATAATGTCAAGTGTTTTTTATGCAGCTGTTGAAATCATCATAGGATTTTTATCCTTCAATCCATTAATGTGGCAAATTACACCTATCGATTTTTTGAATGTTAATCATCATTGCAGTCTAGAGATAAACTCCACTTGGTCAGGATAGATTTATCATTTCTATATACTATCAGATTTGATTTGCTAAAATTTGTCACATTTTTGCATATACATGTGCTAGCAGGAATACGGGTCTAAATGTTCTTTTCTTGCAATGTCCCCGTCTGGTTTTGGTATCAGGATTCTGAGGATTATCCTAAAATTAGTTTGGAAATGTTACCTCTTCTTTATTCTGCAAGAGTTTGTGTTAGATTGGTATTGTTTCTTCCTCAAAGTTAGAGAAGAACAAAGGAGAAATAGAATAGAAAATAGCATTAAGGTGGCAGACGTAAACCCAAATTTTACAATAATTGCATTACATTTAAATGGTCCAAACACTCCAATTAAAAGCAATTTAGTGGGGAAAGGAAGGCTGTTAGGAGCTAGAAGAACGGGATACCCATATAGGAAAAACCAAAAATAAAAACAAAACCTTGACCCGTATGTCCCATCATGATAAAAATTATTTTAAAATTAATTAATTATGGCTCATAGACCTAAGTATAAAGCCTAAAACCCTAAAGGTTCTAGAGAAAAATATCCTAGAGTATCTCATGACCTTGGGGTCAAGCAAAGGTTTTTCTAAACAGGTCACAGAAAATATTTGAAAGATAAAAGAAGAATCTTCTGCTGCTCGTCTTCAACAAATAGGCAAGCAACAGGTCAAACACAGGAGAAAACACTTGACAAAAGACTCCTATCCAGGATATATAAAGAACTGCCTGCAACTGAACACAATTTTTAAACAGCACATACACCAACTTAAAGAAATGGGGGGAAAGATGTAAAGAGTCACTTCCATTATGACGTAGGAATGGCCAATAAGCAGGTGGAAATGGATCATAGTGCAGAGGACTGCAAATTAACACCACAACGATGTACACAATATTAGGAAGACTGACAAACCACACACATGTGAGGAAGGACAGATCTTGCTGGTGGGAATGTAAAACGGGACAACCGCTTTGAAATATAGGAATTTGCAAGTTTACATCTCCTCTCTTACCTAGCAATTCCACTCCTAAGTAGTCGTCCAAAAAAAAAAAAAAATTGTACAAGAATGTTAAAAGCAGCTTTATTAAGAATAGCCCCAAACGGGAAACATCTCAAAGGGTCATCATAAGAAGAATGGATAAACAATCCATCGTTTATTCATCCAATGGAGTAGGCTAAATACAAAGCAGCAAAGCATTGATACAAGACTGATACACGCAGGAATGTCACACGGGTGAATGTCACAGGCATTACGCTGCAGGCGAGAAGCCTACACAAAGGAGCACATACTGTGTGATTCCATTTACAGGACGTTCTCCAAAGGGCAAAACTGGTGACAGAACCCAAAGATGAGGGTCAGAGATCGACTAGGAAGAGAGGCACGTCCACCTTCTCCGGGGCGATGACAATGTGTATTTTGACGGGCTTTACGCGGTGGTTAGTTGCCACGACTCGTAATTGCAGTCGGCGGAAACGCTACCCCAATTTCGGAACAAGCAGCACGCAAGCACCGCGCGCGGGGTCCAGGACGCAGCAGGTGCGCAGACCGCGAGCGCAGGCTGGAAACACCGCGCCCCAAGTGACTGACAGGCGGGAGGCCGGCCCCCCGTCCGCTCGGCTCGGCGGGCCCCGCCCCCTCCAGGCCCGCCCCTTCCGCCCCCGCGACGTTCGCTCTGCGTCCGAAATCGGAATGGCTGGGCTGCAGCCGGATGCCGGAGAAACCGTGTCTCCGCCACAGACGGACGGCGCATCGTCGCCCGCTTTCACCATTTAATTCTCAAACGTACCCATTCTCGAAAATACCCAGGGCTTGCCCTCGGCACGCTTTTTAAAACCCCGTCTCACGCAATGGTAGCGTCCGTCCGGATGGCAGGCAACGGGGTGGAGCACACCATTCAAAGAGGGGGAGGGACTGAGGTTTGCATCAAAACAAATACTCCTTCCCTCCCCGAGGCGGCTGCTAAGTAGCTCGGGAAGGACAAAAAAAAAAGTGGAGGAGGGGGCTAGCAGCCTCCCTCCGCAAGTTAGAGGAGCCTGTCGGAATGACATTTTCTCTCTACGCCCTCTCATCGGGTGCACAGTGAGCTGCTCCGGAAAAAGAAACCGGAAGCGCTCCTGTAAGTGGCAAAATGTAAATGCAGAGCCAAACAATAACAGGGCTCGTGGGCCTCTCCGGCCCGGACAGTCCTCCCGGGCTTCGCGGGCAAATCTCTCGTTGAGCACTTCCCACTTCCACAACTGACAGTCTAATTGGATTTGCTCCATCTAGCGGAGCCGGAGACCGGTTGGAAAGATCACTCCAGGAAGGACAAAGGTCCGGAAGTTATGGGAACTGAGCAGCTTGGGCTTCCCGGATCATCCCCGAATAATCATTTCGGAATGGAGCCCGAGGTTCCACCAGGATGCTGTGGGCCCTAAAATCTCGGATCACGGGTCCCCCAACCAAATTCCGAGATCCGAGCGTCTCATATCCTGATGCTTTGTGCGTGCTATTTCAGGGTTCCCCACACCCAGCCCTGGGATGGGGGTGGGGTGGGGGAAGAACCCTTTAGGCCGGCTGAAGGTCCCACTCTCCTGTTCAGCTCTGAGTTCGGCTGGTCCTAACATCCCCATCATCCACACCGAGGCCTCCCAACATTGCATTCCTATGTCGGTGCCGTCAACCAAGCCTCCATTCCCCCAAATCGCTAAGTCCCCAGTGCCCCATCCCCAGACCCCACAATTCTCCCAAGCTGAAAATACACGGAGCCAAGAGCCGGTGACTCAGAGAGGACTCATCTGGCTCAGGCAGGAGCTTACCCGAACCTCAGGGGAGCGTGTCACCGTCCTGGGAAGCACGCTCCGAGGCCGGACGCCAGAGGACCCCGGAGCCCAGCAGCTACCTGCGCCTAGGATGGTGGCTCTGGACTTTTGAGAAGCTCAAAACTTTTAGCGCCAGACAGAGCACATGGGAGGGGAAAATCCCAATCCCAGCAACCCCCGCGAGGCTCCTGGCACAAAGCTGGACAGTCGCCATGACAAGTAAGGGCAAGCAGTTCGCCGGGGGGCGGTGGGAGTGAGACAGGATTCTCGTCGTGCTGGTGCTGCAGCTACTTGACACTGGGGTGGGGAAGTTCGACCAGCCAGAACTGGGAGGGCAGAATCGGTGGAAACCATTTTGGAAGACTCCCGCCACTGTGTCAAATATGAAGGTGGAAGAAAGAAAGACACTTGTCATCCCTCTCCCAGATAGCTGGATAGTTTCTTCTCATCGGCTAAAATGCCACCTTTTTAGGAAGGACTTCCTTAATATCCCAATCCACCGTATTCCTTCAGATACTCTGTATCACACCATCTTGTTTAATTTCCTTCACAGCCCTTGCCGCTCTCTGCAAAGATGTGTTCCTTGCCTTAAATACACAGCAACGTAAGCCTTTTAGGGAGGGCAGAACCCTTGTGCTGCTATCTTACTCATTGTTGTATTTCTCAGTGCCTGGTACAGTACTGGGTCGCAAGGAAGAGCTCAATAATAAATACTTACTGAATGAATGAAAAGAGACGGAAGTGTGAGGAATTTGGCGAATGAGAAGCAAAAGGATCAAAATCAAGTATAGCGCTAGCGCCCTCTTGCAGGTGAGGGGGGAGTAGGTGCTTTAAGAGTGACGGAGGGAGACGGCAGGGGGAGCTCAAGCCCTTCAAACAGAGGCGGAAGCTTTTGGACTACAACATCCAGCAGCCACCGGGAGCCCCAGGGCGTGATGGGTACGGTAAACCCTCGTGACCTGTTACGTGCTTGCCCCGCCCCTCTCCCGGGTCGCCCGCGAAATCCGATCGGGAAGCGGAGGTCCAATTGAAAGGTGCGGCCAAATCCCGCGAGAGCGCGTGGCTCTTAGGGACCGAGCGGGTTGAGGAACGCCGAGCTTGCCACCTTGGTGTCCCTAGGTCCGCCTCGCCTTCCCGGGGTCTTCCGCCCCCTCCCGGACGAAGGAGGCAGGCGCAGGTAGGTGCTCCAGTTCGGCGTCCGGAGCCTTGCGAACTCTGCGGTGGGGCGAGGGTTGCCCGGCGAGGCCAGTGTGGCCGCGCGTCCTCGGCAGCATGAACACGCCGGAGGCGCCCGTGTTAGCCCCGGACCCGGACCCGGCCCCCGCCCCGGCCCGCCTCTCTCCTCAAGCTTCCCTGACGGATAAAGACCCGGACCCTGAACTGGTACCACCGCCGGCCGATGGGGATGAGCCGCCCCGCTTGTCCCCAGATCCCAAGGCCGGTTCAGCTGGTTCCCAGGAGACGGGAGAGGGAGGCTCAGCTTCTATCTCCGCTTCCCCGGAAACGGGGTTCGGTACTCCTAGGGAGCCGAGCCCTCCAGTCGAGAAGCCAGAACTTTCTGAGAATGTGAGCCCTCCTGCAGAAGAGCCGGACAGGCCGGAGCTGGGGCCCGGAGAGCCCACAGCAGGTGTGTCTGAGGAAGCTCCTCCGGAGGATGAGGGATTCAGGTAAGTGGTGACGGCGTGGACGCAGAGATCCGAGGAGATTGGGAGCGTGAGATGTGTGCTTCTTCGCGGGTCTTGGGGCGCACTTCACCAGTCCCGTTTCCTCCTTGCCTTGTTGTCTCCCCATCTTCCTTCCAGCACCTGGAGCTATAGCTTCTCCCAGCTACCTCGATTTCTCAGTGGTTCCTGGTCGGAGTTCAGCACCCAGCCCGAGAACTTCTTGAAGGGCTGTAAGTGGTAAGTTAAGGGTAATGGGGCTGGGGGATAACCGTGCCCAGGATTTTTACCACAAAAAGACCTCCAGTTATCTTGGAGAAGAGCCCATCGAGGTGGGAGTTGGGAAGAAAATAAAAGTTCCTCTTGGACTGAGCTTACATTTCACCTAGAAATAAGTGTCTTCCACTTTTCCCAGGGTCTTGGGGTGCTTACCTACCCCCAGAGGGAGCCTGGCACTTGGAAGATAGAGCCCTGCCCAGCTTTCTAACTCTTTCCTATTTCTAGGGCCCCTGATGGTTCCTGCATCTTGACCAACAGTGCTGATAACATCCTGCGTATTTATAACCTGCCCCCAGAGCTGTACAATGAGGGGGAACAGCTGGAATATGCAGAAATGGTAAGGGTAGGGGCTGCCTCTGTCCCGTCACCGGACGCTGCACGTGTCAGTCCTGCGCATGGCTGGAGAAAGTTGAGCCCACGTGTTTCCTGATCGCAAACAGAACGTTTCTTCACGAACGTTCACAGGTAGCACGTTCTACCCTGGACGCGGAGATATTTAAGGTGGCGTTTGCCCGTTCTTTACTCGTGAATGTGTGTTTTCCATCAAAGAGCGGTGGGTTTGTCGTGGCGGTATTTAGTCGACTTACAGATAATTATTGAACGACTGCCAATGTGTTAGTTACCGTATTTGGTGCCGGCATAAAGTGCTGAAGGAGACAGAAGAGCTGGTTTGCTGTCTTGTGTGGGAGACAGACGACAGACGTGGAAACGAACGAGGAAGTTCGTTATAAAGGATAGCAAGTGGTGTGAAGGAAATAAATAGAACGAGAAGGAAATGACCAGAGGACGCCACTTTACTTACTTATGTATTTTAAGTTTATTTAGAGAGAGAGAGCTCGAGCACGAGCGTGCACAAGTGGAGGAGGGGCTGGGAGAAGGAGAGAAGAAGCCCAAGCGGGCTCCGCACCATCAGTGCAGATCCCGACCGCGGGCTCAAACTCATGAACTGTGAGATCATGATCTGGGCCAAGATCAAGACGTTTAAGCGAGCCAGCCAGGTGCCCCTAGAGGAGACCACTTGAGATAAACTGGTCAGGAAGGAGCTCTGAGCAGGAGACGGTTGAGTTGAGACGTGAAGGGTGATGGGGTCAGTTCTGTGAAGAACGTCCCGGGAAGAGGCAATGATTTTACAGAGGCCCAGGGCTAAGAGGGAGCTTTGTGTGTTCAAGGAACGGAAAGTAGGCCAGTGTGCCTGGACTGAGGCCAGTGAGGGGGAGAGTGTGGTGAGGACGGATTCCACAACCCATATCGGGTTGGATCTGGTGGGTAGGCCATTTGGGGTTTATTTGGGAAGCCAGGGGAGAGTTTTAAGACAGAAGAGTGTGGGGCGCCTGGGTGGCTCAGTCCGTTAAGCGTCTGACTTCATTCAGCCCAGGTGAAGATCTCATGGTTCGTGAGTTCAAGCCCCGCATTGGGCTCTCTGCTCCTTTTCTGCTCTCTGTCTCTCTCTCAAGCATGAATAAATGTTAAAAACACACACACAGAAGAGTGAAGGGATGGCCAAAGTTTAGAGAATGGATTGTGGTGAGCAGGAGTGAAATCAGGGGGACCCATCAGGATGTGTTTATCTCAGTCCAGGTGAGAGACGGTGGTGGCTGGGGCCAGGCGGTGGCAGGAGACGTGGAGAGGTGTGGATGGGTTTGAAGTGTATTTTTTTATTTTATTCTATTTTATTT